TAAATATGCACAATGCACAAGATGTGTCTGTAATGTCACATTATTAGGACAGCTGCTGATTCCGTGCACCGGTCAAGGTGCCCTCTTTTAACATTTGAGCACCTGCCCCTGAAAATGTCTGTGCACGCTACTGATGTTTCACAGAAACCAGTGGTGGGCATGACTCTGCTAATCAGCTAAATGCTAATAGCGAACTAATTTATCATTTAGCAGATTAGCTTTTTCACTACCCTTGAAAACCTTTAGTGGACCAATTGGCTTCCACTAAATGAGGCTTTGTCAACTTTAAGTCCACTAACAGCTAACAAGCTAAAATCAACAGGTTTGTGTCAGTCCATCAGTCTTCAGCTGGAAGGAGACGAAGACGTGTGACAGTTGTCTTAGCGGTTAGCTGTTAGCTTCTGCTAAATATGACTTGTCTTACTTTTTACGTGTAGCATTAGCAAAGGTATTTATTCAGTTAGCGGGTTATGGGTTTGGTTAGCTGTTCCCACCAGTGGTGAAAACTGGTGGKGTTTTTTGTTTTGTTTTTACTCGTACAAAATGCCCCGATACATGGAACCAAGACCAGTATCAGTACTCCATTGAATGTTACAGTTTATATTTCAAGTAAATGTTTTTCAGTTCCATGTTTAACAAATTTATACAAGTTGAATGAAAATCTTACGTATATCCTGCAGTTTTTAAAGTCATTTTGAGATGTTGTGGTACTTGATATTGGCGAGTACCCAAACTGATGTACTTGTACTGTGGAAAAACTGGTATCAGGACAACCCGAGTCGAAACAGTTTTCAACAACTGGTGTGAGCAGACAGGAAACTTGAAAAGTTCATAGAAACTACTTAATAAACCTTTAGGTTTTTGGAGCTTAAAGTTGTTTTAAGACAAGTTGGTCTTGTTCAAACCAAACATCAGTATTTTTCCAAACTGACATCATTCAAAGCATTACATCTAAGATTTCATAACTTTCCACAGGACCTCAAAACAGCTAAAAGTTTGTATAGTTTTGTGAAGAACACAATCATTACAACCTTTTATTGGTTTTTTGTCCAAATATAAAGTAAACTTGAATAATCTCATCCTTTTTATTTAAAAGTCTTTTATTTATTTATTTTTTACAGTGAAATAAATCTGAAAAAAGCCCCAGGAAATAAACTGACCACCGGCACTCCACTCCCAGGCAAAAACGGAAACCCCACCTTCGCCGCAGTAGCTGCAGGTTACGACAAAAGCCCAGGTGTGTATGACGCATCGGTGATGTCGTTACCCTAACAATGGTTTGATCACAGTAACACTTTACCTCCTCACCAGGTGGGTCTGGTCCAGGTAAATCCGACTGCCAAGGCAAAACTCTGGCTCACATGACRTCAGTGGAAAGTGACAGCTCAGACAGGTAGAGTGATCAAACACTTCCTGCAGTCAGGAGGAACACATGAATCCTGATTCCACTTTGTTTTTCCCCCACATAAAGTCCTGGATTATGGAGTCCAATAGACTCGGTCCCCAGTCCAAGCTACCCATCTGCCAACTCCTTCTCAGCGTTTGGGCCCAACAACTCCTTCAACCTGATGAGAGGTAACTTGTGGCACACTAAGCAGGAGAAATGTGGAGGAGCTGGTTCTTCAGCTTGGTGCTGAATCATGTGTTTGTGCAGTTTTCAGTGGAATGAACCTTCCCAAGCTGCCAGAGCCTCAGACAAGCTGGCCAGAGTTCAACAGCGTCTCCCCGTCCATCTGGAACAACCCGAGCAGCGACTCTCTGCACTCCTGGCCCAGCAGCTCAGGTTCACCCACTGCCCCGACTTCGGTAAGCTCATCTGCCAGACGCTCATCTGCTTATGGAGCTAAAATGAGGCAGTAAAGTGTTTTTAAAATTATATAAGTTTTGAAACTGAAAAAAGTTCAAAACTACTATCAGGGTTTGTTGTTTGGTTTCAGATTTATTTATTTGTTTGTTTGTTTGTTTGTTTGTTTATTTATTTATTTATTTATTTGTTTGTTTTATTTTTAAAGTTCTGGCTCTGTTGTGGTATGGGGGCATGGCCTCAGATGATAGGGGCTGTGGAGTCATGACTGACAGCTCAACACAGGCAGGACTAACTATTCCCATCTGTTGAAAGAAGCAGCTTATACCAGTGACACATGTTATAAAACCAATCAGATCGACTTCCGGTTATGGCACTGAGGTGAGCAGACGCATTGAACCAGAGCTCCCAACTCGGTCTGCTAAATTCCCTTTGCCAGAGCTGAATTAACCCACTAAGACCGACTATTTTATGATGAAAAGGGGAAAAGCATCAAAAAGTAACGGGTAATCAAAACAGACAGAAGAAAAGGGCGAGAAAACTTCATTACTCRACGAAAGCGCATCAGACCAGCACATGGCTATGGAAGAGCTTCAAGCTAGCATCGGAGCTATCCACAAAGAAATTGTAGCTATCCATAAAGACATGAAGGAAGAGCTGTGCTGCTTTTGTGATGACTTCACCGCCAACCCAAGAAACCCATTTAACAAAAGAGAACCATGAAAAAAATTTTAAAAATGGGTTTTAAAAAGACATTTTATTCCTCCCACTCAAATGGACACACTAGGGGTGTGGCAATATTAATTGCAAGTAATGTGGACTTTCAGGTATCCAAACAAATTACAGATAAAGAAGGCCGTTTTGTTTTGGTAAKGGGAACACTTGACTCAAATGAAGTAACTTTACTCAACGTATATAGACCTCCAGGACATGACAAAACACTTATTGATAAAATATTTGATCTTACAGTGGCTGAAACAGCTGGTGTTTTGATATGTGGGGGGACTGGAATGCACAACTGCATCCTTCCCTGGATTCCTCAAACCCTTTAAAAAATCAACCCAGAATCTCTGTATAAAAAAAATGGTTAAAAAGATTGGCTTAGTTGATGTATGGAGGGAATGCCACCCATTGGCTAAGGAGTTCACATTTTTCTCTCACCCTCATGGAGTTTACTCAAGAATTGATTATTTTTTCCTATTTAGAGCAGACAGATACAGGGTTCTAGACTGTAGTATTGGTACTA